ATCTACGCTTGATGTCTACGTGCCGTGCATATATATATATATATATATATACACGTGATTATACGTACATATACATAGTATGTACTTGTACAAATATAAAAACAAAACCATGTATATATATATATATATACACATTCGTGGATATGGGTGTGTATATATATATATATAACACATACTATACGCCAACTGCTTCCACCCACGTTGTGCAGCCGGGTTGCCCAAACAGTTCATATGTAGTATTTATTGAATAACAAGGCTTTTGGCAACACAACATTGTTGAACAATAATGAAGCACCTGGCTTCTTGCTGAATAAAGGATTGAAGCTTCCACCCGGAACATTGAGGGCGCCCAGGAGATGAATAATATAATATTTATATATATATATACGCGTGTGTGTGTGTATAATGATTCTCATTCTGCTTCTAGCAGTAAAACACTACAAATCACTATGCTTGATGCATTGTGTATATATATATATATATATCAACTATACTCACCATACACATGCCCCACGATTAAAAATAATTATAGATATATTCCGAAGGGTGCATCAACATAATGCTCATCATCATCAAAATAAAAATAATAATAATCATCATCATCATCATCATCAATCACCATCATCACCACCAAATTTGATTCACTACTCTTGTCGCGACATTTGTGCCAGCCATTTGCTGGGCAAGCTTGGGAGAAACTGGACTCTAACGATCATGTAATATGCGGACGTTCAAGGTGCCTAAGCCACCCTGGATCCAATTACTTTCTGAGAAGCTAGAGCTGGATCAGCCGAGCTGCCCACACACTTCATCAAATAGCTGTGTCTGGTCTGGGCAAACGGCCTGATAGAAACGATGTGGTCCGTCATCTCGTGAATCAACAGTAACCTGACATCTGGCGTGCTGTGCTGACCGGGAATTGCTGCGAAACAAAAAATGGATTGATTTAAGGCAAGAATTGCAGGGAACCATGGTTATTCCGATGTTCCCCAAATATGGGAGGTTCCTGCAGTTCTTTTCTACTTGAACCATCCTGGAAGAAATTTCAAAGTTGAAACGGCCGTGTCCATCAAGCACTATGTAGTGGCACAGCCAGAACAACTCGAGTTTTCTGGAGCTTGGGAATGCTGAGGAATTCACCTGGAATGTCTCGGAAATTCGGCCCATGAAAAATCATCTTGGGATGATCAAACTTGGGTCTTGGAGGTCTTGGAGCCGGTGGTCAAACAGAGTTTTCGCCACTGGGCCAATGGACAATGAATTTGAGAATGACATTACATGTTCATTGTGCATTCTTTTGCATAGCAGAATCATGCAGAATCTCCCGAAATAACAATGGACTCAAACAGTATCCGGCTGAATCAGAATAATTCACCAAACTGAACTGCTGGATAGTTCTGGGATGGTTCTCTATATAATACATGTTACTAAGACCATTTATAATTTACAATGATGTCAATGCTCCAAACAATTTCTGAACCGGCAGATTATAAAACCAGCAAATCCAAAACATTGCTTGAACCCCCCAACTCAGTATGGTTGGTATATATATATATATACAGATGAATTTACAATCTGGGCTAAGCAACGGATACCATGCCGAGCTGCAATCCTCGATTCATATCTTCCTGAAAATGATCCAATGGAAGGTCATTGGCGTCCTCGGGGGAACCAGGACGCAGCAGGGCACACAGCTCTCTCTCAAAAAGGTTGGTTCAACCAGCAACAAATGGTGGGGCCGACACGGCTTGACCAACTAATGGATCAAAACCGTCGGTTTTCCAGAATATGAAAGCCAGGGATAACTGTGCTCTACACACAGTTTCTGGTCTATTGGAACTGCAACCTACCGGATTAGCCCGTGGAACAGCTGTTGTAAGAGAGCCGGCAGGGGCCGACATCAGGCAATCACAGGTCCATCTCATATGAACGGGGAAATTAGCTCATGGAAAATCCACCGATTTTATATATATATATATTTATATCACTTTATGGGAAAAACTATTGGTTGTCCAAGTAAATGTTCGTGTACCCTAGGGATCCCTGGGGTCCATTCAAACCATCAGCCACCAGTCAAGTGCACTAAATCAACCAGCAAAGAATGGTTGCCTTTGTTGCTTAAACTCCCATTTTGAAGCAGTGTTTCATGATTCAACTTACAGTATATTAGTGCTCAAGAAACAAGTAACTTGGGGGGTGCATCCCAATCTGTACCCCAGTTGTGCGTGGAATACATGCTTTATAAACCACGATAATACATCCTACCTATGTACCTGGGATGCACATCCAAGAAGGACACAACAAAGGAAACAACAACAACAACAACTACTACTACTACTACTACCACCACCACCACCACTACTACCACTACTACCACCACAACCACTACCACTACCACTACTACTGCTGCTGCTACTACTACTGCTACTACTGCAACTAGAACTACAAACGCCACATCAAACATGCCCAGCAACACTTCCAAATGGCATCTCGAGCTGTGTGCCTGTGCCCACCATGCGACTTGGGCAAATCACATCACAAAGCAGCTCTACCCTCCGGACAATGACCATTTTTTATAGGCACACCATCAATCTCAAAGGATTTAACTAAATGGGCCATGGCTTCCATAGCAACCTATTTTATAAACTACCAAAGGGTACTGTAACTAAACTCAACCAATGATGAAAGTCTCCAGGACGTGTGTAGTTCACTGATTTTACTGGACAATATCGTCTTCTGGGCTTCAACATTGTAAAAAACTTCCAGGAAATGACAGCACCCAAACAGTCAATCTGGGGATCAAAGCGTCACACACACGATTACCAAATCCATAGTCTGCAAAATTAAGATAACATATTTGTGTCTATCTATTCATCAATCCATCATCTATTCATCTACAACATCAAGTATCAAAAGCTCCGGATCTTGCCAGTTGCTACACAACCTCAACCCCAACACCCCCAAGCATTGGCGAGCAACAGACTATGTTCAGGGCGATGACGCTAAAGACGGGGATGAACGTCACCAACATGGCCCAGGCATACCTCAAACAGCAGGCTTGATCTGGGTTGATCTAAGTGAGAAACCATCCCACGTTCATTGGTATATAATGGATGAAAATGGTAAATAATCCTCGGCCCTGGGTGGTCTTCGCCCCTTCATTTTTTCTCTGAGATTCATCATAAGATTCATCATGCATAATTAGAGTGGAGTGGACATGTTAAAGCAAAGGAAGCCAGTGGACATACCCCTAGATACCCTAGTGGAACCCCAAAGTAGCCCACAAATGAATGGGTTCATACGAAAAAGAACATATGAAACTCCTGGACCTTCATTTTGGCACAATGTCCCGCATCCCCGGCCTCTTCCCCCTAGGCCGGGATAGGAACCATGGGTCACAGTTTGAAACCTATAAGCAACCACCGATGTGGGTCGTATCTAAGGACTGTGGGTCATATTTTTGGGGGCAGAATTAAACCAAAGTCTTTATCCACACTATCTCGTAAAATTATGAGCGATCTGGAGTGCCATGGATTTCCCCAGGAACACGATTTATGAATCATGTTAAGTTACTGGATGATACCCATTTGACAGGGTTGTTCCCAACTCCTCAATTAAGAATGGCTGGAAAAAGATGTAAACGCACTTATACAATGACCATTAGGATAGATATATCCATCTATGGATATATATATATATATATATAAACACACACATACATATGCACATGTATTTTGCTTGCAAGATAGCTTTAGCTGTAGCATGTACCCTAGCACAAAGATGACCATTTTTAACCTATATTGACGCATATTCATAAACCCAATAAATTCAAACGTGCAACCCGTTATCAAATAATATAATATAGTATAATATAATATAGTATAATATAATATAATATAATAATATATAATATAATATAATAAAATAGAATAGAATATAATATAATATAATAATAATATAATATAATATAATTTAATATAATATAATATAATATAATATAATAAAATAGAATATAATATAATATATAATAATATAATATATATAATAATATAATATATATATATATACACATACATTTTTCATTAGAAAGACATGTTAGATTATTAGATGTTGTAAAATCCTATAAAGATTGCAAAATATATATTATATATCATCGATTATCATGGAATATGTTACATCTATAAACCTTTTATAGAGGTTATAAACTGATTTTTTGGATACCTATTTTTTCCGGCCCACTAAAATGTGCAGATCCATGGCCCGAATGGCAACCGCTTCCACGGTCAAGCTGCTGCTTGATGATGGCGGCCACGACTAAAGGCGTGGTGATGCTATAGGACAAGATCAGCCTCGATGCGGAGACTTGATCAACAGTAAATTCTGGGGAATATGATGGGAATATAACGTGGAATAGGGAACCATATCTATAACACAAACACGAACAGACACACACACATATATATATATATACATATATTCTCTTAAGCATTTTATATATTATAACCTAAATTACAAATTGCAAACAATATACATATATATATATATATATATATGTATATTATGAATTGTATATGATATATATATATATATATTATATTTTTATATTTTATCTTATATATTATAAATTATATGGTATATGTATATATGAGTGTGTGTATGTGAAGATGGGGGAATTATATAATCATCAACCATAGGATTTAATGGGGAACTCATAGGATTTGCTAGTCAAAGATGGGTGGATGCAATGAGAAGTTAATGGGATTAAATGGGACTTAGATGGACTTAGTGGGATTGAATATATTGAATCGGATCTGATGGTAAAAATATTAAAAAATGCTATTCTGAACCAGAAAACCTCCAGCTTCTCCATGGGATTCTATTGGATTTTATAGGGATAAGTGAGATTTAGGTTGTCGGAAAATGGACGTACCTCAAGAAAAGATAGTGAACGCATACAAAAGCGCTTGTTTCTTGGAAATACTATCCTGGCATGCCATGATCAAACGTTGTGTCATCACAGCTACTTTCCAAAATCACCGTGCACTTCAAGTCCTTGCTGCCCCAGTCACAGTAGTATAATCTGAGCCCATGGAAATGGAAATCGCGTGTCTGCAATCTTCTTGGCCTCGGTGAGCTCACCGAGAGTGAGCAACCTCATGGATCAGACTCGTTTTTCTGGTACAATCTGGTCAAATGATGTTAAATTCTGTTATAATATGTTATAATCTGGTATAATCTGGTTAAATGATGTTAAATGTCTGTTGAACCATCAAGGTTCTTGGTCAGTTCCTTCACCAATGAGAGATGGCACTTTCATCTCTACTCCTAGTAGCTTGAATACAGCTCTGGCCAGCACAGGCGGCTCCGAAGTCAACCGAGGCCCCTCAGCCGAGAAACATTCAGTAAATTGACAAAGCCACGCCTTGGTTCGGCCACGGGAGGATTAGTCACGCCAAGATTGGGATGCGGCCCCACTGGGCACCACCATGTCATCATGGCATTGCCCCTAGAGATGTCAATTGTGTAAATGAATGTATATGATGCCTTTTTTTGGGGAATGATTTTGGGTACCCAAATTTCATGAGCCCACCCCAAGGAATAATTGATTATATGGCGTACCTTCCAAGGCGACATGGAAAAAAGTCACTCACAACTCTGCCAAATGCAAGCAAACTGCGACAAGGTTTGGTATACCTGGCAGCCGGGCAACAGTATATGCGTGGCAAGCAAAGTTTTTGTTCAGTAAGAAGTGGGACAATCTGGACTTTCCAACTAAAAGATTAAGCTTCCAGACAGGATTGCTCCAAAAACCGCAGGTGCAAAGGGTGGCAAATTGGATAAATCCAGAGGTAAACTAACCCAATTTACCCCTTTCTGGTTATCATTTGCCGGTAATGAGTTGTAGAAACCTTGCTCCAGGTCCTGAAAACACCTAGCAGCCTCCCTATTCGAATTTCAACAGAACCCTAGAGCAAACCAACTGACACTTAAAAATGGTCGATCAAAAGTCTATTTGAGATGCTGGAAGGGCTTGTATGCCTCAATTTGTTCAAATCTGTTCAAATCATCTTAGACCGTTTCATCTGTTTTTTTTTACCCAGGCGCTCGTGGGAGAATGGGAGGAGGGATCGTCAGCACTCCAATCTGCTGGTTGTAGGTCACCAGATTTTGGATCATATGCTGCAAAGCCTTGGGGAATTCCAGGTTAAGCCATGGCTTTATGATGATGTTTCATCACACGCCTTGGGTTAAGCCATGGGTTTATGATGATGTGAAAAATCACACTTTATAACTAATAAGTATTGTATACCATGGTTACATGGTTAGATGGCTAAGAAACCAACTTAAACATACCGGGCATGGGGGCATCATCTCATAGGACAAATCTTAACGCCAAGCATCCTCCACCTTATTGAAACCGTACACATCGGTGCAGTCCCTGCAGATGGCTGGGGCATGCTGGGGTCAACAAGGTGCGCATTTGCACGTCATACCTTCTGGTAATCTAGCATTTTTTGCCATGAACATGGCCACTCAGCACGAACATCATCAAAAATGCAGAACAAACTTGGCCCCGTTTCTTTCTGCTCTACGTCCTTCATGTCAGAAAAAAAAGAAAAACTTTTGAAGTAACACAAGCAACTTGAAAACATTGGACAGCGTCGCTAATATCTCTCAACATATGTTGTTCCCATCCTCGCCAATCAAAGGAGTTCAGCGCCTGAGAAATTTCAAGGTTTCCATGTCAAGGCCTGTGATGTCCATGCACACCTGCGTGGCCGTCACAGGAATGCCCCCAGGAACCTTCAAACAGTCTGAACACATGAACTGTCCATGAAACCCCAAGAGATGATCTGTTCCAGTGGACTTATGGCAAACTATCGCACAATCCATGTTTTTCCCCCTGACTTGGGGACCAGAATAAGTTGAGATATCCCCAACATGCCACGAGAAATGTATCTCATTATATCTCATATTATTTGTATGTATATATCCACATATCATCACATATCCATACATATCCCACGTATCCAGAAGCACAAGCTTGTGCAAATATATCAACATGGGCGTGCCACGCCCATGTTGGAATGGGCGGAAGGACCCCCAATGAAACGGTCCAGACTGGTCAGTTTGAAGCACGATGGGAACATGTTAACCTGAATTGCAGGTGATTTAGGGGAAGTTTCTTACTAAATATCATATACAGTGACACTGATAAGGTCGCTATACTTCTCCCAAATCTTGAAGTGAAGCACTAAACTTGCCGACCCCCCCAATTACAAAACACTAAGGTCTATTGATATATTAGCGCTAAACAATATTGAAACCATATGCGATAAAACTATGCCACATCACAAAAAAGAAAGAAAAACATGTAAAACCGTCTAAAACCATGTAAAACCCACATTATAATCCCCAAACATGGATTGTACCCCCCAACAGAATGCTGCCTGCCCTGCAGCCCCTTCACCACAAATCTCATCCAACGCCGAGCCGTGCCTTGATGAGACCAGGACAGTTTTTGGAGATACTTCAGGCAGGGATTACGGGGATGCCCTGGTTCCGTGCCAAGTACGGTTGCGTAAAGTGTACCAAACCAGAGACAACAATAATATGTGCGTAAATACCGTGAGTCTAATTCAAATATATATATATATGTGTGTGTGTGTACCATCTGAACAGATGTAAAACTTCTGATTGGTTTTCACTAGTTTGCAGGGGGGTGCAGAGCACAGTGGAGACTGCACCCAACGAAGCTATCCACTTGTGCTGGAAGCAGAGTCTGATCAACTCTGTGTACCTGCAAAATTTGGTTTCAACTGTTGATCAAGCTGTTACACTGCGTTGTTTCGAATCTACACGGTTGCCACAATCTGTATTGCATGCATCAGAACCTTCCTCAGATTTTCGCCGAAACCATATCGCCGACAGTATTATGATTTTTTGACATATTTTCGCCGAGATCATGTCGCCGACGAACTTTGGGTTATTTTGGGAAACAATCGCCGAAACATTATTGTGGATTCTCAACATGCTGGTTAAAACTCTATGGATTCTGGTTTTGACTTCGTTTGACAACATTGGATGCCCTACATCGTTTTCGAGAAGTACCTCATGTGGCTCCTTTACTAATCTAACGATCTAGGCTGGTTTGCATGTTTCAGGATTCAGTTCCTGCCGGATCATATAATGATCCATTCTTGTCTAGTGTGATTTCCACATGGTGGCTCCGACATGGTGCCATGGAGCCACTTGAGGCAACCCTTTTCAGGGTGAGTGTTGACAGTCTTGAACTCTGAATTCACACATTTTAATTTGGTAATTCGTTTACGTAATGTGCAACAGCTGGCCTTTCCGTTTTGCCCCTTTTGTGATGTCCCGCGCTTCCGGCTGTCCTTTATGAACCCAGTGAATGCATCTCTATTGAGTGAAGCCACTTCGAACTACCAGAAACCTTTTTTCTCTGCAGCTTGCGCATTTGAAGTTCAACATGACATTCATGACAAAAGGCAACAGGCATGTCCTTTTCCTGCAGGTGTGGTCTCTTTGGTTTTTGGTGAGGTGAAACATTTTGTGCATCTAATTCGTTGGAATTTGGAAGCTGTTTTATGCCTTCGTGGCACGACTTGACCACGGTCCCGGTGCAGGGAATAATTGCACGACATCTTAGGCAGTTAGGGACTGAATCCTGTATGTGATTGTTCACTTTTGTTTTCATCTACTGAAGCGATGCATCCGTGGAACCCTCCGCCAACGTCATGGCCTGTTCCACCGCAGCCTACGAACGCACCTCCGACGTGGCCGCAATCATCACAAAACGTACATCTATTTGGACATCCTTCAGCCTTGCATCCTACATGGTCTTCTTCAGCTTCGATCATGCCGTCTACATCATCCCCAACATCGTTGCCGTTTACCTCATTGTCTCCGGCTCCTCATGCAGTACCAGGCCCACAGCTCGTACCCACCATGCCTGCACCTTTGACCTCCGAACCCACAATGGCGCACACCGCTCCTTCGACTTTCCCATCTCCTTCGGCACCCACCGCTCCACCTGCCTGGCCTTCTCCACCGACTTCATCTCCTACGTCGACTCCACCACCTACATCGACTATGCCACCGACACCTTTGCCAAGTTCCCCTTACCCACCCCATCACATTCAACCTCCATTACAAACGAACGCATTGATGGTTTCTCCTGATGAACATCCTCCACGGCCTCCTGCAGTTAAGGCAGCTCCCAGACCTCGCTCTGACAAAAGAATGGATCGACCGCGCAGGCCAGCTTCAAAAGCCCCTTCTTCGACTACACCACCAGCACCCACGGCAGCACCGACGTCATCCGTGCCACCCGAACTGGTTGCATTGGGTTCCACTACACAACAACTTGCGGAATCGGTTCGACTTATTCAAGCTCAGCAACAGGTGATCATGGATACTCAACGGGCCCAAGAACAACGTCAGCTACTTCTCCAACAAGATGGACCTCCACCGAACCCTATTCCACACATACCACCACCTACGCCCGTGCCACCACTGACAGCCACACCTCCACCCGCACCGAAAGCCAGACCTACCGAACCTGACGTTCCGGACCTTCGCATTGTTCAAGCCCCGGCCATTGCTCCTCCTCATCCACTACCAGTTCCATCATCCCCAACACGCCGACCAAGATCTAGGACTCCACGACCACGTTCCCTTCGACCTTCGGTACATTCTCATCGCCATCGCTATTCTCCTCCACGAGCAGAGCGACCTCGTTCTCCTCTCCCTCGTCATCGATCATCCACAAAACCGGACAAGGGCCGCAGAACCCCATCTCCATACAGACGACGCTCCCCACCACGACGCCGCTCTCCCGTGGTCCCTCGACGTCATCGATCTCGGCCACGTCCACGTTCCGCGACACCACGTCACAGATCCAGAGGCCGTGAAGTCATACTCCGACCAGCTGCAAACCCATCGAATCCGAACTACATCCCCACTCCCGATGCTGATGACACCTGGGGTACATGGAACGACAGTCACTACACCGACAACGACCATCACCACAATCCTCGACCCAATTCTCCTGCCGGTCCACCACCAACGGAACCACCAACCAACCCACCAACCCACACTTCAGCACCACTCGGCGCGGTGTCCTTCCGAGTTCCGGACGGCGACAGTGAAAATTCTGAATTTACAGATACAATTTCGCTCACCAAGTTTGACACGAATGACATCGACCTCGATGAAATGGTGGCGGCGGCCAATGACCCCCATAGGGTCCGTTGCCTGACTGAACTTGACCCCGATCATGTTGTTCCTCTACGCCGATCATTGACCCCGGCTATCTCGCAGCTCTTCAACCAGTTTGTGGACGCGATGTTCGAAAGGTTGGCTCAACCATACCGCACCGTCAACAACCATCGTATTTACATCAAAGCAAGTCAAGCCACCGTCAGGAATATTGCCAGGGCCTTTGCACAATCCGACTTACTGGACATCGAACTCGCAAGGCAAACACAGGCCTTCTACATCGAGCCAGAAAACTTGCTGACCATCACGGTTCCCACAGGATTGAAGAAGAAACCAATCTACCGTGGCGAACACATGGGCACCTACCTGATCTACCACAAAACGAGTTGGGAATCAGTTGCCAAAATTCTTGCGGAGGACTGCATTCGCCCGGCAACTTGGACCAAAAACGAAGCCGGCATGCCGACTCAATACCCATGTTACGGGTTCTTCGGAATGTCCTCAGAGATCGCAGACATCGACCACCTACCCGGCTATGCTGTCAAGATCTGTACCTCTCAGCTCTACAAAATAGGCAAAGGACAAAACCCATCAGGCCTAATGGCCATATGCCGCTCACCCAAATGCATCCGTGCCCTAGCTGGAGGAAATGACCAAATCCAACGCTTGTGCAACCTTGCGGGCATCGCCAAGGGCAAAGACAATGCAACGGCTATGAACTCAAGCGCCGCATCTATATGCTACGTTGCCTCCACTCACACGGTTTTCCCGGGCTTGATCACACACCAGACTGCAGAGACCAATGCACCTTCGGAACCTCCTGATGATTCTACACGTCCAGTACGACCTGACCCTTCTGCTGACGCCCCTGAACCTTCGGAGCCGGCCCCGGACGACTCTCGCGACACACCGAGCCACCGCGAAACCGCTGCCTCTGGCTCTCGGGACTATGCTCGCCGATCTTGGCACGACAATGCTTCTTGGGACAATTCCACCTACAGCCACCGAGATCGCCGATCCTCATACCAGGAAGACCACTCTCGTGACCAGCACCATGAAGGCCGACCTCGTTCTCGACATTCGACCCACTACTCTCGATCTCGTTGGTGAACTATTTACCCTTGAGAAGCACCGGAACTAGTATCGACTATTCTATGTCAGCGATACAGTGAGCCTAGTGGCCCCGCCCGATCATTTTGGAGTAACAATGCTTCTCCCGACATTCGGTATTGCCGCCACTTCTTCCTCAAAAGGTTTGTGAATCGCTGCATGCTCATATTGTTGATCTTTTCGCCGATTCGTTTTCACTTCACGTTTCACACACGGGGACCACGTATTATGTCTCACACTTTTTCAATTTCACATTACCTTTGTCTCACCTCGACATTTTCCGCAGCTTTCCTTCGGCAGTTCGAGCGCATTTTGATCTATTATCTCGTGACCCTCGCTACATCATGGCGTCCCAGGACCTGATCTCCCAATATAGCGCGGATGTGAATGGAATTCCTCCTTCCCAGCCGGATCGCTCGCGCACTCCACCTCGTCATCAACATGGATGGCACCAAGCAGTACCGGCGTTTCGTGGCCCGATGCACTATGCCATGACGACCCATCGACCCTTTTGGAACCCTTCCGGAATACCGCCTCCGCCACCTACCTCTCCATCGTTCCCAACACGCCCACCATGGACTTCACCTACGGCACCTTTCCCGCCCACGCCGCCTCCGAGCTCACAGACACCTCCCAACCACGCCAACTTTGCACCTCAACGTCACCCTTTTACATCGAGATCACCGAGACCTATGTCATCCCCAGGAGCAAGTTCCTCTGTCAACGAAGGATATACATGCAGACCAATTGAAATCCCGCCAGTGGAGAACTGGAAACCGGATGTCGACTTCCACGACTCCAACAAAATCAATGGTTTGGACTTCCCTTCCAGAATCCGACAGAGCAGATTTTCAAGCTACAAGGACATTGAAGGGATGGATCCTTTACAAGTCCCACTCTGGAAGTTCTTGTACCAGGGCTTACACAATACTTGGCTTCGTCGAGTGGCATACGGAAGAGAAACCTTCGTCCTTCCTTTTGACAACATAGGCGCTACAGTATTTGTGGCCGAATTGGTATCCCAACTACGCACCCGCAATGTAGACTTGGACAAACTTGCTACATTTCGAGCTCGTTCAGCAGGCCAATGTCTCAACCAGAAGGAAGCCACCCAAAACATGGCCAAAGATGTTGCTCAACTTCTCCAA